GTGCTGGTCGTGGGCCTGGGGGCGGGCTGGGGGGGTCCCGGGTCTGGTCGGTGGGGTCCCAGGGGGCCACGGGCCGGTTAGGGGGTGGACACCGTCCCTAACACACCCCCCCACACACACCCCCTCCTATCCCTCGGTGTGGTCCACCTGTCCCTCGTGTCCTACAGGAGGTTCGAGCTGTACACCATGGAGTGGAGCCTGAAGGAGGACCTGCGGGACTGCCTGGTGGCGGCTGCCCCATACGGGGGACCCATAGGTAGGGCTGGGCCCCGGAACCCCCTTCTGCCCTGCCTCGGCCCCCTCCGCTGGGGCAGGGTCTGTCCTGGACCCCTCCGGCGGTGACAGCAGAGGGGCCGCGGCTCAGACGGACTGTCCCATCCCACCCACAGCTCTCCTGAAGAACAACGCCCGGAAGGAGAAGTCTCCCAGCGCCCGCCCGCTGCTGGAGATCTACTCGGCCTCAGGGCTCCTCCTGGCCAGCATCCCGGTGAGCTGGCCCCCGGTGTCGGCCACCCCCTCCTTTAAGCTGCGCCCTGGGTGCTCCACGGAGGTCTGTGATGTGCCAGGGAGCTTGGGACAGTCCGGGCTGCCCCTCAGAGGATGCCAGAGACTGTAGCTCTCTGCCCCTCACAGTGATAAGCCGGGCAGAGGGAGTGTGGAAGGGCTCGCTGGTGGCACCGGTGGCTGTATGGCTGGGTTACAGCCTGGGTGTTGCAGGTGAATCACTGGGCTGCGAGGATGGCAGTCGCCTCTGCCTGTGCCACTTGTTTGTGTGCCCTTGGGCAGCTCCTCTGGTCTCTCCATGGGGAAGCAGGATGCTGCCACGTGTCCTCAGCACCCTAAGCTCACCAGGATGATGGTTCTGTGCAGCTCCTACAGCTCCCTGTAGCTCCCACAGCCGCCTGAAAGCTTTGGAGAAGCCGCTTGGAAGCGATGGTGTGTGTGTGAAGGGGACACAGGAAGAGCTGTAGGGAGAGGGAGGCTGCCCACCCTTGGGAGAAGGAGATGGAATGGGCATGGGAGCTGCAGCGTCGGCAATGCAGGAGCATCCTCCCTTCCCCACTGGCTGGGGTGGACACAGGGCAGTGAGGACATGGAGGGACAGGAAAAGCTGCTACAACCACAGAGCCCTGCAAAGGCGGGGGCATAGGAGCTGCGGATTCCCAGCTGTGGCCGTTGGCTTCATATACATCTCCTGGAGGGATGTCTCTGGGGCTGGGCCATACAGGAGGCGAGCAGCCCCACAGCATACTCACGTGTCTTCTGCCCACAGTG